TGATTTAGTGTTCTGCTCTCATTAATCCATAAAATCCAACAAACACATCAAAATTCACATCTCACCTTCGAGCAGCAGCCATCTTGTTTTTGTACTAATTTCCCATAATTCACCAGTGCTATCACACGCGGATCTTAAGTCCCAAGTATGGGCAGACGGCTAACGTGAAACCGCTAACTGCAAACCGCGGTTTAGCGTTTGCAGTAAGATGGCCAAACCTCGATCTTAAGGTCTCTATTGTTTTTGGATCATTCACCTCAATGGTTTTCACTTATTAGTTAAGCTCGTGATAATTAAGTTTAGTTGGCCATTGTATGATTATTTTCAGTTTTTACATGTTGGATCATAATAAAGGATTGCCATCGTAGTGTTGCGAAATGGTAATATATGGTTCGACTCAGTTTGTAAACCTATCGCCGCCATTATAATCAGGGTAACACAGCCTCTGGTAAAGCAGATAGAGGCTCAGCCACTCAAGCTTCCTGATGATGATGATGTACGGAAAATGCAGTCGTACAACCGAAGGGAGAATGAAAAACATCTTAGAGAAAGGCTAGAGGAAGTAAAGAGCGTACTCCCTGATAACACCAGATGAGCCGCTGTCCTTGCTACAGAAAAGGGCGTGTCCAGTTGGCTAGCAGTTATCCCATTAAAGAATATGAACTTTACTTTAAACAAGAGAGAGTTCAGGGATGCCGTTCATCTCCACTATCACTGGCACATAGCTGACATGCCCTCCACTTGTATTTGCGGAGATGCTTTTATGGTTGATCGTGCCATGGTGCGTAGACGAGAAGGATTCATCATCCAGAGGCATAATGAGCTGCATGATCTTGAGGCCAATTTGCTAAACACTGTTTGCCACAATGTACAAGTGGAACCGGTTCTCCAGGAGATAACGGGAGAAGTGCTGACGCGGGGTACAAAACCAGCACCGGATTCGACATAAGGGTTTTTCACCCAAACGCAGAGTCTTACAAAGATCTCACCATTCAGCAGATTTGTAGCAAACGTGAAGATGAGAAGAGGTTATACACGAACAGGGTTTTGGAAGTTGAATGAGGGACTTTTACACCTTTAGTCTTCACTACTACCGGAGGCATGGCAGACAAATGCAAGCATTTCCACAGTAGATTAACGGAACTCATATCTATTAAGAAAGGGGAGGAGTAAAGCACAACAAGCAGGATTTAGAGAATAGTTTTTGTTTTTGTTGAGAATATTTTTAGATCTTTTAATATATAAGATGGATGTTTTTTATCTTCAAATAAGATTTTCCATGATATTTCCCTTGAGCTAGGTTGAACTCGGAAATAGTTAAGAATAGGATTAGGAAGTAACGGATTGCAGTCAATAGAATGTAATCATTAGAATGAAATAACTATGTGAAACGAGACCTATGAAAGATTTTAATTTAACTAAGTTTATACTATACTGTAGGAAAAGAATTTTAGTGAATTAAAATTACCACTTTTTTATTATTATCACTGCATAACGTTGACAAAGAAACAGTATAAAGAGTGGACCAATTCATGTACAGAAATGGCCTATCAAAAACATCCAAGACTTTCATAATTCACTTAAATTCAAAATTTATATGAGTGAACTTTGCCATGAGGCATGACCACTATCATCAAAGGGCAAAAAGAAATATCCTTATATCTGCTCAAAATGTTCACATGACAAAAATGGAGGGAAAAAATTTTCATCTCAGAATGGAACGACACCTTCATGAGTGCCAAATGAATTGCAAGGTTTAACACAATTAGAGGAAATGTTAATTGCACATGTTTTCCCAGTGATTTCTACTTACACAAAACCAGATGGACAAAAAGCATACAAAGGCCATTGTATTAACTTTTCTCAAGATATTCAGGAGTTAGCAAATTCTTTGCCAAGATACCCTTGTGAGCTGCCAGTAACAGTTGTGTCAGTCAAAGGCAAGGACAATACTTATAAAGATCTCACTGTGAGGCGTGAAAAGGTCAGCTGTGCTCTGCACTGGTTAGTTCAACATAACCCTGTGCATAAGGATACCACCACTGATTATGAGTTCTTGGCTTTGTTGCCTTCTGATG